GTGGTTAAGCAGGGGGTCGGTAGGTGGTAGGCTGGTATTTTCATTCAGTTATATTATGTTAGGAAAGATGGGGACAACAATATCACAAATTGAAATTTCTTTGGAAATGGCCTCCCAAGCACGACAATTTTGAGACACCCGTTGAGAAAAAAAAAGGATTACAATATTTATTATTACCAGCTGCAGAGATATTCAATCAATCACAATTGTAGAGAAAACATGGGTTCTCATACTAAAAATAGTCTTACTCTACATGGTAACAAACCGATCAAATAATGTGTCATCTTATTTATCTACATAACCTCGCTTCCTCTATTGACCAATTTGTTATCTGCCCAGAGCCATCATGTGCAGCTGTCTACAACTACTGTACTCAATGAAACTCAAACAAAAACCAGCATAATAATAACCCCGAGCGTATTTTTGGGCTTGGTGTTCTGCCCCAGTCGGTGAGCGATGCTACGGGTTTGTCTACACCACGTATCGTTCTCAATGAAAACCAACGCAGTGTACATCTATTACACCCCCAAAGACATTATGCCGATTATTTAGAAGACGGGATGCTTCTAAATAAAGCCCCCTGCCCGTCAGGCCAACATGGGCTGGCTGAGGTACAGAATCCCAGCAGATAGACGGGAACACTCGACATTTATAAGATTTTCCCATGTGGCAATCGCACCTTTTTTCTTTACAGAGCCAAACACAAAGAGTACAACCATTACACCACAGACGATGGTACAATGTACTACTTATCACCATTCCACAGTATACGAAACTATTTAAAATGACATCTAAACACTTACTTGCAAAGGCACCGAGTAGGCCTGATCAGCTCACCGCTGTGGTCTCATCTGTAGCGCCCTGAGTGGCGAGAGTTAACACACAGATCCACATACAATCAAACAATGTCTACTCCACAACAAACAAGCCGAGATCAGTCAAGTGAGAAATGAAGATAATCCCTGCTGGCTTGGGTAGCCGTAGCCTTTGAGCGGCTTCTCTGGTCTATCCTGTGGTCAACACTCCTGTGTTATCGATCTCCAGATCAACATCGTGAACACAAAAGCAGTCAAAAAGTTTGTCTAGAATACAACCACGAATATCATCAAACGCACGCAGTCACCAACGACTGTCTCTCTCTATCCTCCTTCCTGGGCGTTGAAGCCCCAACTAGGGCCGCCACCGTATATCCGCTAAAAGGTCACCATTTACAAAAAAAAAGAAGAACGAAGCGCTTGCTGACCTTCCACGCTGATACCTTGCGTCAAGTTCAAAAATGCCGCGACAGACTCAAAGACACTCCTAACAAAAAGGGCGAAGAACGCAAACGTAGTTTAAGTTTCGACCATAATAAACAAATTGCACTGATGTTTCGAAGGGTTATAATAGTAACACGCTAACAGATAAGAACGCTATCAAGAACAGAACGCAAAGACCCTGCGCGTGGCGTGGCAGCCTTCTTTCAAATCCGTGAGCCAGCCAGGCTCCAGAGGAGGAGGAAGTCCACTACTAACTTCAACACTAAAGTCCATAAAACTCGTACCGGAAATTCAGGCGGAGGCACCGCCGTCTGGAAGGAAGGAAAAGAAAGCCCAGCATCCAAAAATCCCCGTATGTGTATGCGTGTGTGTGTGTGTGTGTGTGTGAGCCTGTGTGTGAGTCTGTGTGTGAGTCACTCGCTTTGCCTAGACGCAAGGCGCCTGAGCGCGCACCCATTCACTAACTCACTCACTCGCGACTTCACGGGTCGGTTCTCTGCTTTCCTGGGCCTTCATGTTTACGTCTACACGTGAACACGGCAATGCACGTGCGTGTGTAACTGACACGGAGGAAACACGGCACGACCTATGTGAGATCATGGCTAATATGTTAGAGTCTACAGAACGTAGAACCAACATTTTAAGTGGGTGGTTGGCGGGTGCTCTGTAGCGATTTTCTCCTTCTTTCAATTCAAACATATAATGTCGTCCTTACAACTCCTTTTTTCCTTGTGTTACTCTCTTGTAACACCTCTAGTCTTCCGCACTTGTATGACCTAATTATTGTGTTGCAATTGCCATAAAACTCTTTCTACCCCAAAAACAAACAAAACAAAACAAAAACCAGAAGAAGCGATTATGCCGTCGACGGCTTAGATACACATTATTGGGACACACTACGTTCAGCCTTTACCCGCACGAAACGCGCTACTAAAAACAAAGCATGTGCACGTTTTCACGAGCCAAATTTGAGGTTTCACTTTCAGACTATTTTCCAAAGACGAAGTATGCTTGAAAAAGTAAGTTGAACATCTTGCTTAGACCCACTTTAAGAACAGTTTTGTTCCTAGTCTTCGCCAATTCCTAAGTCGTTAAACGTAAAATTTCGTCATTCCACATAAGGCATTTTTTTCGTTTAAGTCTGAGCTCGATTTCGCAGCACATAACAGACCATGATAATATATTGTAATAATTACTGTTTTACACCCACATTAACACAGTTAAGATCCATTTGGGAGGCATCCTCGTTCTATTCCCATCCTCCCTGCGAGGAAAAACCCGAGATATTCGATAAATAAAACCTTCCCATACGAGAATCGAACTGAGGTCTTGCGCCTGCGACGCCCTAAAGGCCAACCGTTATATTACTGATGCCGGTCATGGGTTCGAGTTGGGTGAAAGTTAAAGTTTTTTGTGCGCCACGAGGTATAAAACGTAAAAAGAAACAAACATGTCGTAAAAAGAGATTCTTCGTTTCGTGATTCATTGTGTTTCGCGGTTCACGTGTATGTGAAATGTAGCAAACCATAAAAAAGAATTATATTCGTTTCGTAAGTAAGTTGTATGTACGACGGTTCGCATATAAACATACCATTAAAAAGTGTCTTGTTTCGTAAGTTGTTGTGTGTGGTGTGGCTCACATGTAAAAGAAACATACCGGTAAAAATGATTTATTTCGTTAAGTTACTGTGTGTGGTGCGACTGACTCGAAGAAAGAAACGATACTAGTGTTTTGTAACCTCGAAGGGTGAGAAATATAATATTGAAAATTGGAGGCCCCCTGCAAAGAATCCCCTGGTTCTCCGATGTTCCAGTTACCAGGGGTGAGCCCCTGAATGTACGACTAGCACGACATCTGACTTACTTTTGCTGGAAGACAACATGCGGGGAATGGGCGGCGTGAAATGGATATCGTGCGTGAGAGGGTGTATAGTGTGTGTGTGTGTGTGTGTGTGTGTGTGTGTGTGTGTGTGTGTGTGTGTGTGTGTGTGTGAGTGTGTGTGTGTGTGTGTGTGTGTGTGTGTGTGTGTGCGTGTGCGTGTG